ATCTTTCATTAGATGCTTAAATTGGAAAATGACAGCAATCATGAAACAAAGCCTGCAGCCGGGCAGGTGTGAGCTCATGCTGCTGGGGATAGAGTGTGTGGAAAGTGGAGTCTTCTGCTCTGCCCTCAGAGTCCATCTCATCTGCACCAGGGCGAGGAGAGTGAGCCCCAGCCCAGCCCCACCACTGAAAATGATGCCCGTGAGGTCCAGGTGAGTCACCCGTGGGGAGTTGCCCACCACGTGGGCTGACGCTGCTGGAAGATTGCACAGAGAAGGCAGGCTCTGGACCCCCAGGCTTCAGGGAGCTGGGATGTTTTGTGTGGCCTGGAGGTTCTAGGGATACAGAAACTTCTCACAGCAAGTCTGAGTTGGGGGAGCAGGCTGTGGGGAGAGGAGTGCGTGCTGCCGTGGGCTGTGTAGGGTGCACAGGCAGCTCTGAGTCCAGAAACAAAGGCGTGGTTTCTGTGTCAGCCCCTGATGTGGTTTGGCTGTGTCCCCACCCAAATCTCAACTTGAATTGTATCTCCCAGAATTCCCACGTGTTGTGGTGGGGACCCAGCGGGAGGTAACCGAATCCTCGGAGCTGGTCTTTCCTGTGCCATTCTCCTGATAGTGAATACGGCCATGAGATCTGATGGGTTTATCAGGGGTTTCCACTTTTGCTTCTTCCTCATTTTCTCTTGCCACCACCATGTAAGAAGTGCCTTTCGCCTCCCACCATGATTCTGAGGCCTCCCCAGCCATGTGGAACTGTAAGTCCAATTAAAACTTTTTGTTCCCAGTCTCAGGTACGTCTTTATCAGCAGCGTGAAACTGGACTAACACAGCCTCCTAGAAATTTTCCTTCTTAGGAATGCAGTTTTTAAGAGACACTAATTTGGAAGGAAATTTCTGGAGTTTGCAGTGTGCCTGACACTTGTGTACGTGTCAGGATGCCGGTGGTAGGGCAAGGCCTGGGCCAGAGTCTTGACAGTCGCTTCCCAGCTGTAGAGCCAGGGGCTGCTGTGGGCTGCGCCGAGCCTCAGGCGGGGTGGGGACGTGCTTTCCGCACAGGGCTGCCCTGCAGACTTGCAGAGCTGATCCAGGCAGACGCCGTGGTGGCTGCTGGGTGAAGGGTGAGCTGTCACCCTTAAAAAGGGCCAGGCATAAAAAGGAATAATGCCCAGGCTTGTTCGTCTTTCCGTTGGTCCTAAGATTATCAGTGGAAAAATGAGAAATCAATTTGACTCATTTTTATGCATTTTAGCAGAGAAACAAATAGCATGAATGAGATTTACACAGTGTGGTTAAAAAAATGGAGAGTAAACAACAGGGCTTAAGGAAAAGAATTCTCTGAAGACACAGAAAGCCGTGTGGCTGTCAGGTAGAGCATGCTAGTGTGGTGTTCATTGTTGAACAGACGCGGCAGGCGGACGGCTGGTCTCCTCCAGGGCAGGAAGGGGGAAGGGTGTGCTTCTGACCCTGCCACTCGCTCACCGCCTTTGCGAAGGGAGCGTGGGTCACGAGGGGAGGGCGCTGGTTTTCTCTGAAGCCCGAGGACGCCTGGCTCCTCAGCCATGTCGCGTTGCTAATGTTGGGCAGGTGAATCTGTGAGCTCAGTTTCTTCAGCCGGTGAGGACCTGAGGAATGCGTCCCACTGTGAGTGAAGGTGGTGAGGACTCGGGGTCGTGGGGATGCCGCTTCTCACTCTCCCAGGTGCTCTAGGTCCAGTTTCCTCCTCCGTCCCCCCTCAGGACTGCGGAGTTCAAAGGTGTTTGTTCATTGTCTCCTCCGCAGAGTTCAGGGCATTTATTCATTGCCTCTTCTTCGTATGATGGACGCATCTTTGTCTGTCCTGTTCCTCGAGGTCCTGGTGCACCGTGGAAGGAACAGACGTTGGGCTGGGACCCACTGGGGGTGCCGGGGGCTGCCTGCTGCCTTCCCTTTCTCTAATGGGCCTGGACTCCATCTCCAGCGATCCTGATGCGTGAGATGGTGTTGGCCCTGGTGCCAGCGTCCCAGGGAAAGATGACATCAACCTAAACTCTTGAGGATTCGTAGCTGTGTTGGAGCATTGTTAATTTTCTTTGTTGGGAGATGCTGTAGCTGTGGAACGTACTCTTCTTCCATCTGGCTCTGAGGCCGCCGAGTCATCCCGGCCAGGCTGACGAATGAAGGCGTCCTCTCCTTCCCACAGCCACCCCGCGCCCGCCCAGTCTGGGGAAAAGCCATCCCTCCCTCTGCACTCAGGGCGACAGTCAGCATCCGGCCCTGCTGCTGTGTGCACGCTGGCGGCAGTCCGCTTCAGACCCCATGTGTTCGCTCCTTCAGAGAGCCCGCGCACTCTTCAGCACAGTTGGTGTTGGCTAAATATTTGTTGACTGAGGCTGAACGGTCATTTTAGGTTTTGTCAGGGTCTCAGAGCCAGTGTGGTCCTCTCTGCCTGTGGGATCCGATTGTCGGAAGCATTGATGCCATCTGGTGTGGGGGCCATCCGGCGTGGCGGCTGTCTGATGTGGATGCCGTCCGGCGTGGCGGCTGTCTGATGTGGATGCCGTCCGGCGTGGGGGCTGTCTGATGTGGGGACCGTCCAGCGTGGAAGCTGTCTGGCGTGGATGCTGTCTGGTATGGGGACTGTCCGGTGTGGGGACTGTCCACCGTGGAAGCTGTCTGGTGTGGAAGCTGTCCAATGTGGGGACTGTCTGACGTGGGGACTGTCCAACGTGAGGACTGTCTGAAGTGGGGACTGTTTGACATGGGGACCATCCGGCGTGTTTGCTGCACTTGTCTCTGAGGATCCCTTCCATGAGCGTCATTCTCTCCATTCACCGTTGTGGTCCAAGCATGTCTGTCTGACCTTACCTTGGGAATGACAGCTTTCCCTCAAAGGATGATGTCCTTTGTGGTCCCGTGGAGTCTCTGCTGGGCTGCAGAGGGTGGGCACCTCCCGCCTCACAGGTGCGCTGGCCGGCACTTGGACCGTCTTGTTGCACAGAGAGCTCTCCTGCACAGGCACCCGAAGTGGATCCCGTGACTCCCACTTATTCCAGGTGGAGTGATGACCTCACTTCGTCTCCCGGCCGGCGGGTGGAAGGGCAGAGATGTGCCCGGGCTCTGGGTGCTCACGTCAGCCACCCTCCGTCGGGGCCCAGGCCGGGCTCGGGGTGCTCGCATCAGCCACCCGCCCTCAGCTGTAGCCTTGGGTGAGTGTCTCAAGTCTCCCAACTGGTGGTTTCTCCGTTGAAAAATAATAATAGTCCCCACGTCTCGGAGTTGTGCTGGCGAGGTGGACCTAAAAGGAAAAAGCTAGGGTGAAAGCACTCTATGTAGAGGGTTATTTGGCCGCGTGTGAGGCCTGCAGCCCAGGAGCCTGGATCCAGGCTGCCCTGAACGCACACTGATGAGCAGCGTCTCCAGGGGATTTTGGAAAGCAGAAAGGGGGTCAGGGAGGCTGACAGAAAGCCGTCTGTCAGGAATTCTCATGAGGTGATGGAAACCATCGGTTTATTGGTTAGCGATGACTGTGCATTCTCAAGCTGCAGGGCATGTGGTAGGGTCCAGCGCGGCATCACCAGGCTCTTCCCAGCCACTGGGGGCCACCGCAGGCTGCGTTGAGTGAGCACAGGGTTCCCCGGGAGCACAGAGCGGGGAGCAGGGTGTGGCTGCGACTCGTCTGCACATTCTCGGGGCCTGATGATGTGAAAGGGCTCCCGCCCCTCAGACAGAAATTCTGCTCTTTTCTCAGCAGTGCATGTTGAGCTACTTGTGCACGTTGTTGGTGAAATGACCTGAAACCAAGGAACTGAGGCTGCAAGGCGCTGAACCATGAGGCCGGGCGCCGGGGATGGGGCGGGGGTGGTGGCGTGTGGCCTTATGGCACCTGAGCGAGTCTGGGGGATGGAGGGAGAGCAGGTTCAGGGCTGGGAATGCAGGAGGGTGGAAGGGCGGGCACTGGGCTGGGAATGCAGGAGGTGCCACGTCTGAGGTTGGGGGCAGGATCCCACTGCCAGCCTCATTGGAAAGCAGTGTCTGTCTGCTTCTGAGAGTGCCAGAGCCAGCGGCCAGCTCCGTGCACTAGGGTAAGAGAATTCGCTGGCCTGGTAGTGCTCTGGGAGTGCGGCAGGCAGAGCCTGGAGCTCTTGGCACCCTGCCATCCCCTTGCAGTCCCCTCATTGAAGAGCACGAGGCCAGTGACCACCCTGGGTGTGGGCCCGCCTGGCCTCGGAGGAGCTGGCCTGTGCGTGACACTCAGGGACCATGGCCCCTGTGGCCGCGTATGCTTTTCCTGATGCAGCCGGGGCCTGGGGCTGGTGCCTGGTTCCTGGTGCTGGAACCTGGTCCCTGGTGCTGGAGCCGAGGCAGCCAGAGAGTTCCCCGAGGACAGCTTATTTCCCCTGGATGTTTCTGGCGGGAGCCAGGCCTGTGTGTTGTGGTCTTAACATGAGTCACCAGGAACTGGCCTTCCCGGGACTCGGCTGGCATCCAGCTCACACTCAAACTCATGTCCTCAAAGCAGGGAGGGAAACACGAAGCGTAGACAAGAATCACAACAGCAGGCAGGCTGGGACCCAGCCTTGCCCCGAGAGGTTAGCCACGTGTTTACCCGAAGGAGTGGAGCGGGCGGCCAGCGCCGCACCTGATCCCAGCTGAGTCTGGAAGTAACACGTCTGGTTTACATGTTGATTCCTCCCTTTAGAATACGGTGGGAAATTCAGCAAGGAGTTGAAGCCAGTGTCAGGTTGGGAAGGGCCTGGCCAGCGAATCCAAGTTACAAAATAAACTTCTGGCTACAGTTCAAGGTGAAGTCACTCCAGCCCTGAGAAGTCTCTTTTGTTTTGCTCTCGAATGTTGTTTCAAGGGAGATTTACAAGTATTCACAACGAATAGGTGGTGAGTCTTCTAATCATGGATCATAATGACAGTTCTTCCTTTGTGTGGGGTTCTCTGTCGACAGCCCTGTATCTATTGAGTGAGTGTTTATCCACCTGAACGGTGACAAGCAGTGTCTCTCCTTCTTGCAGGAACTCCTTCCTGTAACAGAGCCGAGAGAGGCGTCTGCAGCTGCAGCATGGACCAGCGAGAGCCCCCGCGTCCCGCTCCTGCAGGTAACAGCACTTGCCAGGTGGGCCTGTGGGTCAGGGCGCGCTGCCGCTCTCATCAAGGACAGGGTACTTTTGGAACCACTGAATTGCTGGTCACTGGGATATGGGTGGAGTGAGAGCTTCTCGGGAGAAAGAGAAGGTTCCGACATGACCCGGACGCCCCCGCCCCTGCCTTTTGATGGGGGCATCCTGGATGAGCCTGTCGCGTTCCTCACAGGTGCTGCTGTGTTGCTTGAGGGGACCTGCCGTCAGCATCTGAAACTCCCTTCAGGTTCCCCTCAGGCCGACGCAGTCAGACATGGAGCGGGAGGGCGGTTACGGGATGGAGCCTTCCAGTGTTAAAGGCCCAGGAGGGTGGTTACGGGATGGAGCCTTCCATCGTTAAAGGCCCAGGTGGGTGGTTACGGGATGGAGCCTCCCAGTGTTAAAGGCCCAGGAGGGTGGTTACGGGATGGAGCCTTCCAGTGTTAAAGGCCCAGGAGGGCGGTTACGGGATGGAGCCTCCCAGTGTTAAAGGCCCAGGAGGGTGGTTACGGGATGGAGCCTTCCAGTGTTAAAGGCCCAGGAGGGTGGTTACGGGACGGAGCCTTCCAGCGTTAAAGGCCCTGCTCAGGCTTAGAGCACAGCTTGGCCGTGGCGAGGGCTCGCCCAGTTTCCTTTTCTGCTTCCCTCCTCTACGCGGCCGCTCAGGGACAAGCACGACCTCTCTACCCGTAGGCTCCATAAGGGAGGGCTGCGGGTGTAAGATTTCTCTTCATTGTCCCCTCACCCGAGTTAAATTATGGCCAAAAAGACTATGCCAGGGTTGCCGGCTCGTGCTCCAGCCAGTGGAGAAGGTGGACACTGACCGATGTTTCTATGGCAGGTCGTCTGCAGGGCCTGGAAACCTGGCCTCTGTTCTCCCGGGGCCTGCCCGACCACATGGTGCACATGGGCCTGGTGTCCGTTGCAGATCCGGGGGTCAATGAAGCTGTGGAGGTCGGGGAATTAACTATGTGGGCTCCAGGCCCCTTGGCACCACGGGTGTGGGTCTTGGGAGATGCCAGGATTTGGTTGTCTGTGCCCTCCCAACTACATGGACACTCTGGGCCCTCAGAGGTTGTAGCTGGATCAGAAAAGAGGCAGCCTGGAAGTCAGGCTGTTCATAAGCAAGTCAGTCACCAGGGCTTGGTAGATGACAGAGACAGGAGAATCCAGGGGTCACCGGGGCCTGGTGGATGACAGAGACGCGAGAATCCAGGGGTCACCAGGCCTGGCAGATGACAGAGGTGAAAGAATCCAGGGGTGAGCAGTGGCCACCCCATAAACAGCCTGTGACACTGCAGGGGCCAGAAGGGACCCCCACTCCTGCTGCTGGGGGTCTGCGCTGGGGAACCAGGCTTGGAAGTCCAGCTCTTGGAGTTCTCCAGAGCCGAAAGACCACGGGGTATGAGACCTGGTACCGGGAACCCGAGGCCACGGCCCGGCTGCTTCTCTTCTGGGGGTGACGTCGGCTGGTCTCCTTGCCATGGTGCTCATTGTCACCCCAGCTTCACTCACTTGTGGATTGCTGGCATTCAGGCTCTGCCAGACTAGGTCGTTTTAATTGAAAATGAGGCCAGGCACCGTAGCTCACACCTGTTATGTCAGCACTTTGGGAGACTAAAGTGGGTGAATCACTTGAGCCCAGGAGTTTGAGACCAGCTTGGGCAACATAGTGAGACCCCATCTCTGCAAAAAGAATAAGATAATAATAATTAGTTGTGCATAATGGTGCATGCCTGTAGTCCCAGCTACTCATGAGGCTGAGGTGGCAGGTTCACTTGAGCACGGGAAGTTGAGGCTGCAGTGAGCCGAGATTGTGCCACTGAACTCCAGCCTGGGTGGTGGGAGTGAGACCCTGTCTGAAAAATAAAAGTGGAAAATGAGGCAGAGAGCAAAATATTTTATTGTTTTTCATTCCTATCAAATGAGATGAGGCCCCGGCAAAGCAGGGCAGTGGGTATCATCCTGTGGCCTCATCCTCCGTGGGCCCTCTTTGGGTGACCATGCCTGCAAGGGCCCCTCCCACCTCCCTGCTTTCTTTTTGGCATTTCATGGAAATGAGTGGTTGTCTTGAATAGTTTTCTGTTTGAAGGCGTGGGCACCAGATCTTGTGTGCTTTTCTGTTACCTCCCCTCCTTCCCACATGCAAAGACGGGAAACTATTAATACGGTGCTTTGACATGCCCAGGAGGCAGGTACGGTTGTTGGGGAAAGTTAAAAATAAAAGAAAAGCCGGGAAGTTGTCCCTGCAGGTAAGTGTCCAGGAATGTGGAGGACGTAGGGCCCGTTCAGAGTCCCACGGCAGATGGATGCTGCCTTCACCCCTGTTTTGCCCACTGTTTCAAAGAAGGCGGAAACCCCGTTTTGTCATTAAATGTGTCTCCAGCATTTGCTGACGTCGTCATCAGTCCTAGCTAGTGCCTGGCACCCTGAGGAGCTCTGCCCAGCGGTGCCACCGCCTGGATTGGACGAAATGCCCACCCACCCACAGTGTTCACAACCAGACTGACTCTCTGAAAGGTCCCTGGCCCCATAGCCCTCCACCTTGGTAGTTGTCCTAATTAGAGACATGGCCTCTGATGGAGGCAGGACTCGGGGTGCCCAGGGTTACCAGCAGCTGGTGTTGCTCCCTGCAGCAGGTCGCACCTCTCCTGGGGCTGCACAGCCCCTCCCTCTGCCCAGATTTCGACCCAGGGGAGAGTATGACAGGCCCATGCCCTCTGGGTGCAGCCGGACTGGCCAGCCTGCCCTTGGGCCAAGGCCCGCTGGATCCAGCCTCAGGGCTTGTCGCTAACTCCAGGCTGCAGGAACGTGGAAATCTCCACAGTTTGCCACTGTTAACATTTCACTCAGGAGGGTGTCCTCGGGAGACCCTGGCAGGAGCCCAGGAGCCTTGGAGGTGCTGAGGAGCCGCCCTAGCCCTCTGTCGGGTGGGGAGCGAGGCCCCTGCGCAGTGGGGAGCGAGGCCCCCGTCGGGCGGGGAGGGAGGCCCCCGCGGGGCGGGGAGGGAGGCCCCCGTTGGGCGGGGAGCGAGGGCCCCGTCGGGCGGGGAGCGAGGCCCCTGTCCTTGCTGACAGGCCACGTGATCTTGGACTTTGATTCAGAAAGCCACCGTTTAATGACAGTGCTGTGGCTCGGAAACTTAGGTGAGTTTCTAGCCAATAACTTTTATGACAAATAGAAATAGGGATAATGGCCTGGTGTCTTTTCTGAGGGTTCTGTGGTACTTTAATTATAATTTCCCCCATTATTAAGTAAGCTGTGCACTGAAAAGTGCCCCTGAAGATCAGGATGCGGCAGGAGATTACTGCGACCTCAGTTCTTCCCTGTGCTCGGACATAGTTGGTGCTGGTACCTTAGATCATCACTTCTCCGGTTTTTTCCCCCATGTTTCTTTTCTACATAATCGTAGTCATTGAATATAAATTTTTAACTTTTTTTTGAGACAGAGTCTGGCTCTCTTGCCCAGGCTGGAGTGAAGCAGTGTGAGCTTGGCTCACTGCAACCTCTGCTTCCTGGGTTCAAGGATTCTCCTGCCTCAGCCTCCTAAGTAGCTGGGATTATAGACACCCATCACCATGCCCAGGTAATTTTTGTATTTTTAGTAGAGACAGTGTTTCACCATGTTGGCCAGGCTGGTCTCGAACTCCTGACCTCAAGTGATCTGCCCACCTTGGTCTCCCAAAGTGATGGTTTTACAGGCGGGAGCCACCACACGTGCCCTGATTTTTAACATTTTGAGTGTACGTTTTTATACCGGCTTTAACATTTTTATTTGTGAGCCTCTTCCAGGCTTCATAAGTGTCCTTATCAGTGGCTGCCCTCGGGGCCTCCTGGCAGGGGTGCTGTTGTGTGTTCCAGTGGAATCATTCCTTAGTCCATGCCCATTCCTCACCTTTACCAGGTCCCTGTGCCTTCTCTAGAAATGCCCTTGGCAGGAAGTCAAGTCATCACAAGGTGAAGTGGTGTTTGTGAGGCAGCTTGTGCACCAGGAAAGATTTCAAGCTCTACTGCCCAGCTGCTGGGATTCAAATGTTGACTCTGAGGTGTGTGATCTGGTGACCTAAGCAACCTTCAATTTCCATCATTCCTGGAACAAACAGAACCCCTCTCATAAGTTTGGGGAGGATTTGACAAGTTAGCATCTCTAAAGTACTTAGACCTAGCTGGTAAGCACTAAGCAAATCTATTCAGAAGATGATCTGGGATTTCTCAGAATGCAAAACAGTCACACTGACAGCTAAAGCCTTTCTCTAATTAGTAGCAAAATTCCAATGCAAATTATGTTCAGGCAAAAGAAATCAGTACAATTGGCATGTTAATGTTGGTTCACAAAAAATCATTTACCAAATACCTGGTAACTTCCGTAATGAGCTCAGACAGATGCCAGCACCCACACTGGCATCGTCTCTGGGGGCAGCATTGTTTCTAGGGGATGGACTGTTTCTGGGGGATGGACTGTTTCTGGGGATGGACTGTAAGAAACTCAGTACAATTGGCATGTTAATGTTGGTTCACAAAAATCATTTACCAAATAATTGGTAACTTCCTGCTGCAATGAGTTTAGACAGATGCCAGCACCCACACTGGCATCAGTTTCTGGGGGCAGCATTGTTTCTAGGGATGGACTGTTTCTGGGGGATGGACTGTTTCTGGGGATGGACTGTTTGTGGGGGATGGACTGTTTCTGGGGATGGATCGTTTCGGGGTGGACTGTTTCTGGGGGTGGACTTTTTCTGGGGGATGGACTGTTTCTGAGGGATGGACTGTTTCTGGGGGATGGACTGTTTCTGGGGATGGACTGTTTCTGGGGGTGGACTGTTTCAGGGATGGACTGTTTCTGGGGATGGACTGTTTCTGGGGATGGACTGTTTCTGGGGATGGACTCTTTCTGGGGATGGACTGTTTCTGGGGGATGGGCTGTTTCTGGGGATGGACTGTTTCTAGGGGATGGACTGTTTCTGGGGGGTGGACTGTCT